GTGTTCAAGAGTCTGAATGCAGCCTCCTCTGAGGCCCAAGGGAAACTAAGAAGAGTCAGTGTTGCGCACTGAACTATGGCGGCATAGAGTTTATGCTCCCATACGGTGGGAAGAGGTGATCAGTCAGGAACCGGTGACCCGGGCAAGACGGAAACACCTCTGCGAGCACCGGGTCCTGCAGCTGTGGTTCTGGTTCAGGGCACGTGTGTGGCAGTGAGCTGTGGATTCCCAGGGTGGGGAGGCCCCACCCTGCAGACTTGCCCACCCATCTCTCTCTCTTGGGTTACTGCTGATGATTTGCTCCTCAGATGGAGCTGGTACCTCCAACATCCTTGGGTCTCTGGAGAGTCTCAGGTTTCCACAGCTCCAGGTGCTGGCAGTTGAGGAGCTGCCTGCAGAGATCATGCCACCATACAGCATTCCTGACTTCCTGCTTCTCTCTGAAATCTGGGTGAAGGCTCCACAGCTCTGTAACTTTCCCATGCTTCATGCTTACAAAGGTTGAGGCTGGAGCCCGCCACCAGCTTGAGCAACAGCCAGGAGCCTGCGGACTGTGGGCACAGGGCCCTCCCAGTGCCTGGATGTCACGGTGGGCGAACAACCGTATAGCCTGGTTCTGTCAGGTGTGGCCGCAGCCCTCTCATCTTAAGGGAGTCTGTGAACGTTTTCCGCGTTTGCATAACAAGCTGGTGAACATTTTCTGATTTCCTGACAGCCCTCAAGATACTACCGTCCCCATGCAAAGTACAGAGCATTTAAAAGATGATCTTGTCCACATTTCTGTCTTGTTGCTGTGTGAATCCTCTGACAAAAGCAGCGGAAGCGAGATGGTGCTTTCTCTGTGGCACACTTCCAGAGGGGCAGAGGCCGTTGTGGCAGGGAAGGTGCGGTGGAGGGAACGGGTGATCCGCTGAGCACACTGCATGCACACTCAGGAAACACCGGCACACAGCCAGGAGGCAGAGCTGTAAGGAAAACGCCAGGCTTTGACCGCGGACAGCAGTTCTCAGTCTGGGTCTGGACCTGGGATCACACATCACAGGCTCACATCACCATTCCAAGCGGTAGCAGAATTAGTTATGAAGCAGCGATGAAAGGATGTTCTGGTCAGGGTCACCACACCGCGAGGCACTGTACTAAGGGGTCGCAGCGTCAGGGAGGCTGGGAACCGCTGCTCTCTGATCTTCCTCCACAACAAATAGCACAGCAGGGGACCTCAAGAGCTCGTGGGGGACATCTCTCATTGAAACCGAAGTGGCCTCTTGTAATCTATGAACCCCACTTCCTGTGACCCTACTCAAGCTGCTACTTTTCTCACCAAACCACATGCTTTCAAAAAAAAATTTTTTTTCCTGTGTGTAGCCTTGGCTGTCCCGGGTGTAGACCAGGCTGGCCGAAAACTCAGAGATCCACCTCTGCCTCTGCCTCCCAGAGTGCTGGGATTACAGGTGTGTGCCACCGCGCCCGGAGACTGCTTTCCAGATCCTTCTGCTCTGTTTTGTTCCCACTTTTAAACTACAGATCAGTGTGGCCATCTGATGGCCACATCTGGTCATCTCATGCTACCTCATGTGCGCCAAGGGGAAAGATCTGCTCGGCTCGTGGTTTCGGGGCTTCAGTCTTGCAGCAGGAAGGCACGGCAGGCACAGTGGCCCTCCTGTCTGCGCCTGCTGGCTTTCTCCTTTTCCTCCTTTATCCTACCCTGCTCCAGCCTGAGGCATGATGCCTCCCACACTCAGGGCGGGGCTTCCTTGTAGTGAGTTAGAACAGAGTGGAGGAGGCGGCACACACAGGGGAGAAGCTGGCAGTGGAGCAGGACAGCCGCCAGTGAGCAAGCAGAAGCAACTGTGCAGTGTGCCGAGCTGACAAACGCTGCGGGTCAAGGCATCGAAGGCCGTTCTGTGCGGTTGAATTGCTCACACAGAACAGATGAATGGGATGGTTACATGAACATCCAGGCCTACTAACAGTGTGTACTAGTTGACGCACACCTAGGCACGCCTGTGTATTTAGAGGATCTTAACTGGGCGAGTGCCTCCAGTGCCGCAGGTGATCAGCCCAGCTTGCGGGCGTGTCTGTGGGCATCCTCTTCCTTAATGATTGATGTGGGAGGGCCCAGCTCCCTTCAGGCAGGGCCACCCATGGCAAGTGGTCCTGAGTTGAAATAAGAAATCAGGCTAAGCAAGCAATGGACAGACAGCTGGTAAGTGGCACCCTCCATAGTCTCTGCTTCAGTTCCTGCTTCTAGGTTCCTGCTTTGAGCTGTGCCCTGGCTTCCTTTCCTGACAGACTATGTGACCTTTTCTTCCCTAAGTTGCTTTTGGGCAGGGTCTTTATCACAGCAATAGAAAACAAATCAAGAAACAGTGCAAGGAATAGGAAACAAAATAATTTTAGGAATCAGTAAACTGACAGATGGAGTCATAAATTGCAGGTGCAGCAATTATTTCCAGCAGGAAACACAAGGCACATTCTGGGAGGTATGGTCAGGGTCAGAGGATGTGAGAAGGCCTAGGTGAGCAGTCAGGCGTTAATAATAAGGCAGAAGTGTTGGCACCCAGAGGCCAGAGAGGCTGGGGAGGGCAGCATTCGGGGGACTCGGAATCCACGAAGCAGAGCTGTGGAGGAGGTGGCTCCAGACAGCACTGGAGCCTGTGCAGGGAGATGGGATAGAGGCAGAGGAAAACAGGTCTTTCTCCTCTCTGTGCTGGGCAAGCACCCCTAGCTAGCGGAACCCAACCAGCATGGAGGCAAGAGCTAACTGGTGTTCATGAGGGCCGTCCTGTGTGTCCACAGGGACCAGCCTGCGTTACAGAGTTATCTGAGGAGCAGTGGGGCCTGGGGTGGGGCTCTGTCTTCACTCCCTCACCTCACGATTTTACCTATTGATGAGTTATCTATCTCTAGAAAATACTTCGCTGAAAAGCCTGTGTTGGCCAAACCGTGTGGACTGATTCCTCTCCAAGATTCCGAATAGCAACATTCTCACTTTGCATCTTTCACTGGTCCTACCCAGGCCAGCCAGGAAGTGGAGGAGCCTCTTTCTTATTGACACAAAATAAAAGAAGCCATAGATATGAAATGAAAATAAATAATAGTGTATAATTCTTAATGATCACCAATGTTAATGAAAGGAAGAAAGAATGAATGAAAGGAAGAAAGAAAGAAAGAAAAGAAAGAAGAAAAATAACCACATAAAAACTATCAGGAAGGAGATGACTAAAGATGACTTGTAGTTTTGATAATGTTGTCCTCAGACTAATTTCAAAAGTAGATTCAAGTATGACATACCCTGAAGTGATAGGAATAACACAGGCTTTTCCAGTGAGAGGCCAGGTAATAGGAACACATAGGTATATTTTCTAGGAACGATCTTCGGTCATTAACACATGCAAACCCATTGAAGCTTTAAAAATACACGTCTCATACAGAACAAAAGATCATTTGGTACGTTATTTTGAGACACTTCCAACCTTTGTTTTTTATTAAGGAATAAAATTTAAAACTGGATAAATAAATCTATTAGTTTTTTTTTCTTTTTGATAATTTTTCAAGGTTACACCGAACCCCTTTTTGTTCTGAGGACGCTATATCAGTGTGTGCCATTTACAGAGGAACAGAAAATGAACTGCACAGACGGAGGGGTTAGAGTAATCACATCTGCCCTCCCTCCCATCCACACATCTAACTCTGGTATCAACAGTCCTGTTTTCCAAGCCAGAAACTCTGGAACATGTGGTTTGAGAAGGGAAATTTCCTCTCTTTTGAATTTGTGAAAAGTTTTAGGGTGGTATCAAATTAAGTCATATAGCCTTGTTCTTTTGATGAAGTGCCTTATTGAAAAGTAAAAAACTTTACAGAAAACTTTGGGTTGCCCAGGGCCATGTGGAACACGTGGCCGCCATCCCTGGCCTCTCAACCCTTTGTTCATATTTGTTTTCGTTGCCTAGGTTTCCAGGCTTTTCTCAGACCCTCCTCACCCCTCTCTTCTTCTGTGTCCATATTTCCTGTGTGTTTTCAATCACAACCCTTCGCTTTCGAAATTTGTCAGTCTGACATTTGGAAATAGATTTTGGCAAAAGGTCCTCATTCCGGTCAGATCTAAGAAGCAGGGCAAGGCGGGTGCTCCGACCCAGCTCCAGGGCCCGGCCTTGCCCTCAGGCTGCCAAGGCAAAGGGCATACCTCGACCCCACCCCTCCTTTCCGAGACAGGGTCTCGTCTCTCTGTGTAGCCTGGGCTGTCCTGGAATCACTCTGTAGACCAGGCTGGTCTTGAACTCCCAGCGATCCGCTTGCCTGTGCGTTTCTGAGTGCTGGGATTACAGGCTTGCACCACCACATCCAGCTTCTCTGTTAGCTGCTTTTCTTGTTTCTGTGATGGACTGCCCAAGAAGCAGCTGAGAAAGGGGGGGGGCTTACCTCAGCTCACCAGGGTGCAGAGGGGCACACCGGCAAGCTGGGTTGTCCTCTCACACCTTGGCCAAACAGGAAACAGGAAAGCCAGGAAGTGGGGGGAAGGTCTACTTCCCATGCGCCCAGGGGCCCTGGGCCGGCACCTGCTGCTGACAGCTCTGCACACACATCCATTCGCGTATGTAAAGCCGCCGGAGACGGTTCTGCAATCCGCAGCAGCGTGGAGGGTAACCGTGGATGGCCACGCAGACGTGGCGGCCAGGGCCCAGCGGGGGACGGTGCATCCGCAAATGCCAGCACCTCACGGCTGGCGCTGAAGCCCCTCCCCATGGGCCCGGGCCGTGAGGAGAAAATATACGCACACGCGGTCGCCACGGTTCTTCTCCATCTCAAGACGACTCTCTCCTCCCTGGCTTCCTTGCCGAGCAGAAGTGGTTCTGATCGGTCAAGCATGGGCACCTCGGGAGGGCTCAGGGGGCAAAAATGAAGACCGAGCTAGCCCGGGCCGGGGGACCGCTTACCCGGTGCCTCGTAGACGGCTCCCGGCGCGGGTTCTAACGCAGACTCTCGCTTTGCCGTCTCTCCAGGTGTGCAACACCACCACGGACCGGAAGCACGCCGACACCTTCCTGGAGAGGTGCGTAACCGAGGCCGTCATGAGCATCGTGAGCGGCTTCTTCAACTCGCCCTTTTCAGACAACAGCACCAGCCTGCAGGTGCGGAGCGGAGCCGAGGGCGTGGAGGGGCGCAGGGCGCGGGGCAACCAGGGCGGGGGGTACCGGGGGTGCAGGGCGCAGGACCCGCGGCGCCTACCGCCTCGGCCTGCAGCCTGGCTAGGAAGTTCTCACACTCTGGATAGCCGCTTGTCTTTCTCCCACTGGAGCAGACTTCATTCTGTGGCTCACGCACGGCATCGCTCACTCCCTCACGGTAACGTGGGGAGTAGGTTCACGATGACCTTGCGTGTGTACAGCCTCCAGTTTTCTCACAGCCGCCGTCTCCTCTCTTCTTTCAGTTCCCGTGTCTTCTGTGTGTTCTCTTGGCTCTTAGCATGTACATTTTGCCTGTTCTGACCACCTTGAAACCTGTGCTTTAGCCAACAGTCCAGCTTAGGCATCATTTAATCAGATCAAAGATCAGAGGCCCCGCCCCCACTGGTCACCCCATCTCCAGCGAGATTTTCCACAGAGAAGCCTCCTCTTATAGTTAAATCTGTGCCCTGTTCCCAGCACTCCCGGGCATTCCCTGTGGATGTGGAGCTGGGTATTGAAATAATGGCTGATTGTCCAGGTGGGCGAGCACCCGGCCCAGCCGCCAGGCCTGGTGATTTACCCTGAGGCTGGCATAGTGAGAGTCCTGTACGAGGCTTAAAAACACGTGAAAATATCTATACTTCCCAGCCTTAAATGTCCACAGATAAGGAAACAGCAAACTGTACCATGGCTTATCTGTTGGGTGGCTTATTAAAACTCATGTTTCCAAGAAAATGAATGGCTTAGGAAGGTGATTCTCACCATCGCAGCCTCACAGAACTGCGTTGAGTATCGTCTAGCTGGGTGTGTGTGAAGAACACACAGGCTCAAGCCGTGCATCTGTGAGTCCCCACCTGCAGCGCGCAGGCCTTCAGCCAACGACGTCAGAAAAAGCCTGTGCTGACCGTGTACAGCTTGGTCGTTTTTCTCTGAACGCAGTGTAACGACCCTCGCACAGTCCTTACGTTTACTGGGGATTATGAGTCGGGTACGCAGGTTAATGGGTTCCCCGCGTGGCTGAGGTCTGGCATCTCTTTAGCTGTCAGTTGGTGTGAGGGATGGCAGTTTAACATACATTGGTGTTCTCCACATCCAGCTTGGGAGCGGCCTGTCAGCTCCAACAGGTAGACCCTTGAACTCGCTAGGTTTGTTTATTTTTTCTCATCGGGAATATAGTTAGAGGGATGAGGAGGGGCAAAATGCTTGCTGCAGAGACAGAAGGACCTGAGTTTGAATTCCGTAGCACATTACATACAAGCTGGACACTGGGCTGGTCCTGTGCAGGTCAGAGACAGGTGGAGCTCAGGCCAGTCGGGTCTAGCCAAAAGAAGAGACGTGGCCCACCAAGATAAGGTGGAAGAGTTACAGAGGAAGCTGGTTGAGGTCAGCCTCTGACCTCCACACATGCACGCATGCACGTGCGTATACACACAGATACATGCATATAGTGAAAACACAAGCAATCAATTTTCTGTCCTGCCTGGATGTTTCCTCTGCTGTTGGCACACCAGACATTTTTGTGGAGTTAGGTGTTTTTGAGTGGCACTGAAGCACAGAATGCCTCGTGGCCCTTGATTCTGTAGTCCTGTGTGCTGTGTCCCCTCAGCCCCTCTGGTGTGTGTGGGTTTGGTGGACCATGGCTTGGGGGCACAGAGTGACCGCTTTCCTTCTTTTCCAGACCCACCAGCCTGTCTTTATCCAGCTGCTGCAGTCTGCCTTCAGAATTTACAACTGCACCTGGCCCAGCCCGGCCCAGAAGGCCTCGGTGGAGTCCTGCATCAGGGCCCTGGCGGAAGTGGGTAAGTCGGTGTCCCGTGACCTGTGCACGCTTCCCGGGGTGACTGGGCCTGTGCTACCTCACAAAGGAATGAGACCAATGAGAGGGGTTTGTGGTTTATTTATTTATTTTTAAGTTGAAGGACAATGTTCAGCAAGCGAGTCTCAGCATGGCAGGTTTCTAGAAGAAAAATGTGTTCATGTCTCTCAATGTCAGTGTAGAATTATTGCATATGATATTCAGTGTGGCTAAGTGAGAGTTTATGAGACTGAGTGAGCTAGTCATCTTACTTTTAATTGTGGAATCGTCTTAGTACTAATGGTCTGACGGGGTTAATATCTTTTACGGCGATAGGTGTTTTTGAGGGTGTTTTTAGTATCCGGATTTGTATAAAATCTTCATCATTTAACGGCCTGTTACACACTGGATGCTTCAAAATTATAAATGAAATGGAGGGAGGGATTTAAACTAGGGGGGAGTGAGTGAGATAATTCTCATAAATGCCCCGCATAAGGCACGTGTGTAGTTGTGTATTAATGAATATGCAAGCTTTTGTGTACAGTAGGTGTGTTTATGTGTTTTATGTGTGTGAATGCAGGCACGTGCACTCACGGCAGAGGACATCAGGTATCCTCCTGGCCTTCCACCTTGCTGTTGGAGACACTCTCTCTGCTGTTTCCCGCTGCCTCCCTCCTTGCTGGAGGAATGCTGGGGTTCCGGGTGCACCCTGCTGCCCTGGCTTTGGGTGGCTCTGAGGTCACGCTCAGCTCTCAAGCTTGTGGCTGAATCGTCCCTCCAGCCTTTGTGTAGATTAATTATGGGTGAAGAGGAACAGGGAAGGAGAAGAAACACAGGCTTGGATGGACAGAAAATAGAAAAATATTAAGAAAAGGAACGTAGCACACGGCTGTTGGTGCTGGCTCCCTGGCTTCTGCCGTGGTCACAGCCACTGCTGATGTTTATTGAACAGTTGCCACTACCAAGGCCCAGCTCTTGGTAGTTTACACATTTGACCTTTGATAGGTCCTTTGATTGTTTGTTTTTCACAGTTGAGGAGACAGTTATCTTGGCCAACACGCGTGTGTGCTTAGCAAATGTGCAGCAGACAATAAATGACTTAGCTAAACGTAAGCATTAAATGTCTCTAGTCAGTCTGTGACCTGACCTGAGGGACGCTGTCATAATAACACCCAACCGTGGGACCGATTTGAAGGAAATGAAGAGTCAGTTATAATCTAGGGATGTTAATTATTACTTCAGGTGTTAGTAAAATAGTCAGTCTAGGGAATTAATTCTGAATAAGGATTCTACTTATAAATAGGTGGAATAAATAATTACAGATGAAATTTCTCCTTTGCTTGCTTCGTTGGCATGTGTGCCCTTGGCTGGGGCCTCCTCCCAGGGGCTGTCCTGGGGGAGAGCACTGGCTCAGGTGCCTCCTTCCCGTCTGTCGCTGGCTCCTGCTGCCCTTGCTGGCTGCTGCTGGGGGTGGGGCTGTCTTCCTCAGCTTGTGCCCCACCCCCGAGGTGCTAGTCCTCTTTAAGGTTAACGCTTAGGCATTCAGTGTTGTCACAGTATTAGGAAACCTTTTCCACGCCGTGTTTACGGTTCTTGTTTTCATCGTAGCCTCTGGCTGCATCTGGGGTCACCGCTGCACGGAGACCCTCACCTATACCCCGAGGCTGGCTGTCCCTGGGGGCCTCCTCACTCAAGCTCTGACCATCTGCGCTCAGTCCTGCTGTCCAGGCCTTCAGCTCCTTGCTGGGCTCCCTGTGGGCTGGCCCATGGTTGCTTTCATCATGTTCCTTCACTGAGCTTCTCCTGAAGTGTTCAGATCCGAGACTCCACAGGGGAGAGTACTGCCCCCTCACCCACATCTGCTGGCCCTCAGCAGCATGTAACTCCAGCCTCGGGACCAGACGGCCTCTTCTCTTCTGGCCCCATGGGCACTGTACTCACATACACAAATTCACACATAAACACATAGAAACTGTAGTTAAAAATAAATCCTAAAAAAAGACATTCCTAGAAACCTGTCATCATATAATATCATGTAGCATGCCACCATCATTGTGACACCACATAATCCCATCAAATCACATCATGTCACATCATATCAACTATCCTGTCACAGCCTATCATCATGTAGTATAGAATTATCGTGTCATTTTGTTTATATCTTTGTGTCATATCACACTATCAAAGATGCCATTCGATAAAACGAATGTCTTCACTGTTTCACGTCGTGCCGTGTTCTATCCCCGCGTATATGGTGCCATTTACTGCACTGTATCGTATTGTCAAGTTACGTTACAATTGTGCATCACATCATATCATATCACCTCCCCTCGTTAGACTGTACCCTGTCCCAGACCATCATGTCATGTTGTATCATCAGGTCATGGCTATCGTCATATATACTATGTCAGATATCATACAGTATCACACACCATCATATATATCCTATCATATGTCACCATATCATATTGTATCAAGTCATATGTCAGATCTTCATCTCACACAATATCATATACTATCATGTCATATTATCGTATTACATTGTTATATCATACCGTGGCGCCATGTTATTCAGTTATGTCATGTGTCTTCATCATGTCCTGTTATCAACATACCATGTTATCATCTGTATGCATATTGTATCATTTTGTATGATCATATCACTATCACACATCATCACGTCATTCCTTATTATAATCATAGCACGTCTTCGTATTACATATTCATAGTGTCGTATCATCAGATCCTTTATACCGTTTTACGCCGTGTCACATCATTATCATACCCATGTCATCGTATCTTCATAGCTCATGTTCAGTCATGTCATAAGGCCCCTCCTAGTCCTCACTGCTTGTTTCTCATTCATAGTGGAGACTCGGATCAGGGACGTTGCTGTATCTGTCATCAGGGCCTGGAAATCTGTTTCTGATAAGCAGGATAGTAGACGTATTCGTTACTTGCTCACCACTGTGACAGAATGCTTGACAAGAACAGCACAGGGAAGAAAGCACTCCCCGAGTGTGTCTGGCTGATATTTGGAGGGCACAGCCCCTTGTGGTGGGCACAGCATGGTGGCCACAGGAGCCTGGGGCAGCTGGTCGCCTTGCACCCGCAGAGACACATGAGTGCTGACGCTGAGCTCACCATCACGGGGACCCCAGCTCGTGCAGGGTGGGTCCTGCCTTGGCAGAATATCTGGAAACACCTTCATGGCCACGCCCCAAGTGTCAGTAAGTGTTGCTCGCTGTGGTTCACAATGAGACGTTAACCGTCACGAGCGGGATGTTGGCTTATGGTGGTCTGTGGACTCCAGTGACGCTGCCTGGGCTAGAATCAAAAGGCAACGTGACGACAAATTTGGGTTAAAGTTCAGGTTAACTTGTGTATGATTCTAGGATCATGTGTCCCTCACAGTACAAAGCAGAGTTCCTGTGGTCTAGTGGAGCTTGGGGCTTCACAGACAGACAGGACGGAGGAAGGCGGAGGCTGGGTGGAGAGCAGACCGGCTGCTTCAACGCTTCCCTCTGTGCCCAGGAAAACAGGGACATGCACAGCATGGCAGTGGAAACAGACCTGTTTCTGGGCCCAGTCAATTTCCCCTTCTAGTTGGGGCAGGTCTCCTGAGACACCAGGCAACCTAGCCTGCCAGTGTGGCCTCCGGGGACCTTAGTCCTGGGATCAGTGTGACACTTTACTGCCCAGATACACATCATTTCTGCTTCAGCTTTTTTCAAAATGCATAGCAACACTGAAATATGGCAAGGTTGGGGAAACTGTGTCTAAGGCCTTTTGATGCATTTATGAGTTGGTAAACACATCCCTTATAAATGCAAATGTCAGTTATAGTTCACATGTGTGAAACACCTGTTTCTCAAGCACTATTAGCTCAGCCTGTCATCAAAAATCCTTCATCGCTTGTGCGCTGGTTCCGAAAGAGAAGACAGTAGGCAGGCTAACTCAGCCCCTCCCTCCCTGTGAGCCATAAGCTCTTGCTGAGTAAGGCCACGGGAGCCCTAGGTGCACTTGGTAAGATCTGCCTCAGTTTACCCATCCCTGTAAAACACACGGCAGGAAGGCCTCCAGCAAGCTCATCTTTGAAAGACCTCCATATCATTTCCCTCAGGAAAGACTTCTGTCCATGTGTTTCCTATTGGCCTGTGATGGGGGAGAGGGGTAATCCCAGGGGGTTGGTTGGCCACACCCTCAATCTTCCACACAGAAATTACATGAAATGTCTTCTACAAATGCTTTGCCTGGTGAACACAAACTTCAAGCCAATAATTCTCAAAATGAGAGAAATGTAGAAAGCATTAACCCTTTAGAAAGTCTGCCTTAAATAAATGTCCATTTTAACCTTCTGGGCATTGTAGTGAGTAGTTTAAGGAGTGTGCCATAATTTCCTCTTGTAATTATGGCTTTAAATCTTGATTATTAGCTCCAGGATGGAGTGCTTGCCTTCTGTGTGCGGGACCCTTGCGTCCATCCTGAACAACGCAAAGCCCAGAAACCCAAATGTGGAATCAAACAAAACAATCCTCCTGAACTCCATTGCTTTATATAAAACATTAAATTGGAATAAGTTATAATACAGGATATTGTCTTCAAAACATTCCATTTACGAACTTGACTGTTTAATGGCTCCTCCTTATCTGGAAAGTGTTGCAGTGAAGCAATCTACTCTGTTAGGCCACACGTGCCCATAATCCCAGTGCTGGGAGGCAGAGGCAGGTGGACCCCTGGGGCTCCCTGGCCATCCAGCCTGGCCTCCCTGCCCAGTTCCGGGCCAGCGAGAGACCCTGTTTACTGAAAGGACATGGAGTCTGAGGAGCTATTGGCCAGGATTTGTGTCGGAGACTTGAGCGTGCTGGAGAGCAGGTGATGCTCCCTCCCGGCTGTCTCCTCCTGCAGCTGTTCTGGTTCTGACGGGCTGACAGCCAGCCCGTGTTCTACTGTGCTTTCTCCCTCTGCCGTCTCTCCATACCTGTCAGCGTACATCTCAGCGTT